TTACTACCAATCACTAGGTGGAGAGGTTAGGGACAAGAAGAAAAGGGGCGGCAGGGTTGCCTTCAGCCATAAGACCGACTTCTGCTGCATCCAGCAACCGAGTGATTCTCTTAATGATGGATTATATGTCCTACACCACATGCTGGAGTACAGACGGGATCACCAGAACCTTCGCATGTCACCTAGATCCGGCGATGCCCATATTTTGCAATGGGCAAAGAACGTAGGAGATATCGAGGATCGTCGACTTTGAGCTGAGTTCTATCACATCCAGCACGAACTTGCCCAAATCATCATGAAGGAGGTCGTCGAAAAAACAGGGATGTTCTACGAAGAAGGACAAATGTCGCGGGGAGACGTCTGAACATGGTTAGCCTCTCAGCGTCTCGACATGAAGCCTTTCACTAAGCTCGGGGACTATCTCCCTGACATGGATGGATGGTACGACATGTTGGAGTGATTGTCGATATATGACAATGTGTCCGTTTAGTCCATACTTTCTGTATGACAAAACTTTGAGTTATGCGCGGTGAAACTTTATTTGTGATGTAATTAAACTGTGCTCCTCCTCGACTAGCGAAGATCACTCTAGTTAGGGCATTTTGGGTACGATGAACTTTGTTATTTATGTTTATGATATGTTGTTTTTATATTTTTGCCAAGTCTGTCTCTTTCTGTTGCTCAACTATATATGTTGCATATCATCGACTCATGTGACGATGCAGGTGCATAGATCATCAATGGCGAAGAAGTGCTACGCCAGGAGTATATATACGACGAGTGGCCGGAGTGTCAGGTCCAGGTGTACCGGTTTCCGGTTTCCGAGCAACAGGCAGTAGTTAGTTTAGGTTCACGCTAATGCGAGAGAGGGATACGAACTCATGTACTGCATAGTTCCGCTCTCACTCAAAGTGATAGCTCTTCTCGCGTATATCATTGTTTAGATGGATGACGATGTATTTGCAAGTAATCGAGACTTGTATCTCTATTTTCGAGATGATGACGAGAGACCACTTTGTGTTGGATGATGATTATGATGATGACATGATTTGATGAGACTAGTTGTATGTATATGCTATGATTACATTTGTATAAAGGCTATTCAAATACAAAACAAATATGCAGGAAAAAAACTAATAAAAATAGTACTAGCGATGGGAAAAAGTTAGCAGTAGCGCCGCCTTACCAGTAGCGCTGGCCTTCAAAAAGCGCTGCAGATAATATCAGTAGCGCTGTCCACAGAAGCGTGATGCAGCTATCCATGTATAGCAATAGCGTGGGTTGGCAGGCGCTACTGCTACACGTTAGCTGTAGCGCCTTATCAGTAGCGCACAGCCCGACGCTACTGATAGGCCTAAAACATGCGCTGCTGCTAGGCTTTTCCCTAGTAGTGAATGGCAGCTTGCAACAGGTCTGCTCCGAGGACAAAAATGAGGGGAGACGGTGGATCACCTTGTCAAACTCCATAAATGCAATGAAACTGTCTGCCCGGACGCCGTTTAGGAGGACCGAGGATTTCGCAGTGGAGAAAATAGTTTTAATCCACCCCAACCACTTGTCATTGAAGCCCATGTGCTTCATGATTTCCAGCATAGCATCATGTTCAATAGTATCAAACGCTTTTGCAAAATCCAACTTGAGAAGAACAATTGGTTGTTGAAGTTTGGCACTGATGAATGTATTCAAACACCCATGCAAGGCAGTCCTGGATGGACCTCTTTTTCAGAAAACCATATTGGTTATGGTGTATGATCTTCAGAATGAGTTTTTGCATCCGATAAGCTAGAAGTTTTGTAATGCCTTTGAGACAACAGTTTAGCAAGGTAATCGGTCTGAAGTCATTGATGTCTTGTGGTGCAGCAACTTTTAGGTCCACCTCCTTGACAATCTCACATGAGAGTCTTGGTCCATCTCCTAGCCTTTTGGTATGAAGGCAAAAGCCATATATTTGTTGTTGGAACTCACTCCTTGCGTATGTTGTTTTGGCTAGCACCACGAATGAATTTTTAGCATAGTGCATGCATAGCTGAATAGGTGATTACAGTGGCGGAGGTAGAGGGTGGACATGGTGAGGCAGTATCACCCAAAGATTGGGAAATGGTCTTTATACCATAGCAAAAAGGTTTAAAAATAAAAGAGAAAACAAATTTGGCCAACCCTGGCCTAGTGGGCTAGATCCGCCACTGGGTGAGTACCTACCGCATCTAGATCCCTATAAATAAAATGGATAGTTGTGGTTGCTACTCTACATGTGTCGTGGTGTCCTCAAATTGTGTCACACGAGTAGGCCTGGCTATCGGATCTTCCTAGCATACGATTTTCATATTTGTGATATTCAAATGTTATAATTGTCAAAATATTCATTCAAACGTGTAAAAGTGCCATGTGTTCATGTATTGAGTTTTATTTGATCAAGAAGCATATGTGTGATACATTTGATTAGCAGAACATGCAAAACCAATGCTAAAAGGGCGATCGTGAGAAGACGAGGTGTGTGTCTCCTAGTTCTTTAAGGTGTTGGCCATCAGGTAATGATGCTAGCACATACTACTAACACTAATCCGAAAGAGAGCATTCTCATAGCTGATGTCCCTCAACTGTGTGTCTCCCTTTGGGTTCTCACCATCACACGCACGAAACAAGGGTCAATCGAGTCCATGCACATATTCTCACTTAGAGATACATTTATAGAAATAACATGACCATCCTTAGCCCATTTGTATGCCCACGGCTAGACACTCTTTGGCCGACTCGATCTGTCCACGCACGTAGGATATGATCCTCAGACCATGTATCATTAGACATCGACAAGGCCTTCCCCATCCCGTCGCCGGTAGGTGAAACCAGTCCTCACTCGGCAAAGAAGTTGGTCGACAAGGCCTTCCCCATCTCGTCGCCAGTAGGTGAAATCAGGCTGCACTCGGCAAAGAAGTTGGTCGGGTATGTAGCTTACAACGCTCATCTTCTGCCATTGCCTTCCAACGGCTCAAAAGTGTCGAATCGACTGAACTGTTCCCTAGGGACACACTTTGAGTTGCTCTGTCAGCTTATCGTGAGGGTACCATAAGTTAAAACTTATTTAAATTCGAACAAGTTTATATCTATAAAAAATATACTCCCTCCGTTCACTTTTGTAAGACCGTTTAGACATTTAAGACAACACCCAAAACAATTCAATTTAGTTGTCTAAAACGTCTTATAAAAATGAACAGAGGGAGTAGCAATACTTGCAACACCAAATTAGTTTAAATTCAACAACTTGGGAGGAAAAGAACCTATCTTCCCTCCCATGGTGCTGCGCCTTCCATTAGCTCATTGGATAGCTAGACCTTTTCCTTTCGTATAACTACATTCATAAACTTTTTTTTAAACAAAGGCATAAGATTTGCCTCATTGATTAAATAAGGAGAGAATAGAGTTTTATAAAGTGCCCAGAAAGCATGGCATGACAATTACTCGCACAAAATAATAGACCCTAGCTTTTTGACGCCCGCTATAATCCAAAGTTTGGCCTCCTGAAGGATGATATTAAGGAGTATAGTTGGTGGAGCACTCTTGTGTGGAACACACGACCATTTCTCTCATTCCATATTATCCATGAGACAAGCATTGTGAGGGACTCCATAGCTTGTCGATTGGGTTTTTTTTTGTCGGTTGCCGATCCCACCAAGCATAGATGGATTCCTCAAGATGCCACGCGGATGTGTCCATGTGCACGAGTCCAAGCTTTGCGATGATCAATCCCCATAGCTGACGTGTGTAGCGACACTTGAAGAAGAGGTGTGCACCCATTTCTTGCTCCCTTTTGCAAAGTGGGCAAAGGCCAATAATTTGCCCACCCACATTTTGCCAACCTATCGGCGGCCCAAATCCTATCTTGGAGGGCCAACCATGAGAATAATTTG